TTCTTCTTCTTCAGCTGGTGTCAGGTCTGGAGTAGATATTGACGATCGTGGTACTCCATTCCTTCCTGGTGTCTGTCTTTTTTATCAGCTCCGTTTTTCTCTTTGTGTTATTCGTTGCAAAGTTGTTTAGGCCATCTGTGTATGTTGTTTTTTTGTCTCCTTCTGCTCCTTACCAAACGTTTCCTGATTATTATTTTCTAGTTTCTCCTAATACTACACACGCTATTGCCAATTGTTTATGTGCAAAACATAGCATCTATTTATGTAGTAACTATGTACTAGAAAAACACCGTACGATATATATTTACTAGCAGACACATACTGTGCATACCATCTACCTACAAGTAAAACGTAGTTTAATAATCATTCTTGCAAAACAGTATCCATTTACATATGAACTATCATCTGGTAAAATATCGTATCAAATTACATTATAATACACAGCTTAGGCCTCGTTAACTATTAATATCTTCGACGGCTAATATATTTGCCATGGGTTTATCAAATCGGACTGAACCAGCCAGAATGATAGGCTATAAAAAGAACCTTTGTGAAATTCACATTTTCTGTACAGGTATAATATGGCGGCGAAAAGCCTAATTTTTCGCCGAATGACTTATGCCCCAACTATAATTATTCTCAATGTCATAGATAGGGCTGACAGATCTGAGACTTCTTGTCGTGATCATTTTGGAGTACCTCATGGAGAAAAATCCTAAACGATCTGATCAAACTCTTAATATTTAATTGCTTGGGGCTTGTAACCTATATGTTACCCGGGAAGGTATTGTCAGTTTAGTCTTTCATTCACACTTCAATCTTCAACGAGGTATTTCAACTTAAATTTTAGGATTAACAGGTCTCGAGAAGTATCAGGGACAAAACTTAAGTGTAAATAAAAACCTGCTACCTTGGGCTCAGATGACAAAAGTAAACCACTTTTACTGGATTTGAATCATGAACTCTCACTGGGAATGCCCCTTGCTTAGCGTGGTAGATATTTTCGCAAAACTACTCTAAGCAAGCAGCTGTTACTGCCCATTAGCCACACACCGTTAGACCCTCAATATTCTCTTTAAATAATAATAATAATAATAATAATAATAATAATAATAATAATAATAATAATAATAATAATAATAATAATAATAATAATAATAATAATAATAATGATGGATCATCATCATCATCATCATCATCATCATCATGGTATTAATAGTTTGTTTTTAAGCGTATAGAAAATTAATCTACGCACCACTGACTTCAGTCTGTTAACATACTGCTAGAACATTTAATTCATTGTGTATCTGGACGACTTTCTGTTACAGGTTGGCCCCAACACTCTCTCGATTGCTGTAACCTCTGGATGCGTTCCTGTTACCACCAGAATTGTAGGGCCTATAGCACCCCAGTCCCGTACCAACCTTTACGTCAACGTGACAACCCCAGCGTCCATCGACTTTTCAGGCGTTGACATTTCTTCGTGCACATCAGTTGGGCAATCCCCCGTTGTTGGTTAAATTTGTTCTTTGTCCACAAACGATTAATTTTGATATCCTAAAGAAATAAACAAATAAATAAATGAAAGGAATACAAGTGGATTTAAGTGTACTCTTTACTTGTTCTCTTGTGTCGCATCTAAATTCTCTTGTATTTTGTGTAGAAGGGTTTGGTTGTAAATTACAGTACCGTAGTTATACGAAATATCTAATTTTCAAATAATAGTTAAATGTGTTATTTTTTAAGTAAGTTCCCCCATCAACACAATTTAATCATTAAGGAAGCATCCTGCTTAGGCTCTGCCTTTCAGGGACAACCCGGTCATAATTTGATACAACATTTCATGAGAAGGAGTAACTAAATATTCAATAAAACAAGGTGCCCTCACGGAATATATAGTTTGTCTTTTGCGTCCAAGGTTGAAGAACCTGATTTTATGTATCCCTGTTGGAAAATCTGGACTGACACGACAAACATGCGTGCATAAATACCCAATTAAAGACACAAATAATGTGCAAACAACGAATGCCAAATATGCTTCCATACTATCACAACACTATGAGCCGGTTGATCCTATGTTGTTCTTTTTCTGGGATTTGTTTTTGTTTGTTTGTTTGTTTTTTGTTAGTGTTTTACGGCGCTCGTAACTGCGTACGGTCATAATATGGAGGCAGCGTGGTGGAATCAGGCTCTCGTCAATTTTTGGGCACATAAAGTTATTGGTATAATCTTAAAGCTTGTTCACTTGTCTTTATTCGGATGAAAAAAATATCCGTTTATCTTAAATGCAAGTCGAGATATTAGAGAATGAAGAAGGTGGGGGTCACCTGTTTTCAGAGGTAAAATTAGTGAGAAAATGGCTGCCAAAGATTAGATATCTCCTTGGCTTAAGAATCCCGTGGTAACACACCAGACATTTTTAGTTGGTGGGAAATTTTTAATCGATTTAGGACCACCAAGAGATCTCGAACGTACGCAACTTGCACCCGGGACCTCCCAGATTTTTTTACTTTGACCGAGAAGGCTAAGTGTAGATCTTACCTACTATAAGATAAGGGGTATGGCTGAAAAACAGCAGTAAGAAGGGGCCAAGAAGAAGTAGTAGAAAGGTTGCAGAAGAAGTCAGGAGCCCAGAGGAGGGGGTAAAGGAGATGAGGGAGTAGGGGCAGAACGTGGAGACTTAAGCAGATGACAGAACATTGTTAGAGAGCAGGAAAGGATGTGAAAGCAGAAAATTTTAGAGAAGAAAATTTTCCGTCGCAGTCCGGATTCGAACCCGGGACCTGTGAATGAGAGGTGAACACCTTAGCCTCTAGGACACGAGAGCCCCCGATCCTGGTTTGAATCCCCTACGGAGAGTTCTGAACTTGGGCCTGTATTAGAGACCGTGTTACACTCTCAGTAATAGACATAAGTATTTTGAGTGCATGCCTGGTAAAAGGTACCGTATGACGTTCCTCCCCTTAACGTATCTAGTATTTATTGCTTTCCTTTATCTTTGACCGAGATCATCGCTCATAACCATGTCGTAACTCTTCATTTTGATGTGAACAACAACAAAAATATTAAAATTCATTTGGCTCTGTCCATTCGGAAATTGACTTTAAATTCGGAAGTCTCGCATTTGAAAAGTCTTGACATTGTTGAAAGGGGCGTTACGGACACGATTTCATAATTTAAAGATAATTATAGACCAAGGTCTAGAAAAAAAGTGAAACGTACTCTTTGCCTTCTTATCTCCCAGTTTAAAATTTGACAAGTGTGTTCTTGGTTTGTTTACAGATAAGCTCGTTAGCAAAAAACAGGCCTTTTTGTGCAAGAGAAACAACAATAGAGGTATTTTCATATATACGTATTTCAAGTAGTGACAACCAACAAACAATTAAAATTTTATTTTTACAACCTGGGTTTGCAATTCTTAGCAACGCTGTACTGAATAGCGTCTGGCCAAGCCAAGATGTGATTTAAAAAGCTGGAGAAGCCTTTTTTTCATCCAAATTGCATTAGTAAGTTGATACATCCTTCGTTACACTCTCAGTAATAGACAAAAGTATTTTGGGTACATGCATGGTAAAAAGTACCATATGATGTTCCTCCCCTTAATATATCTAGTATTTATTGCTTTCCTTTATCTTTGACCGAGATCATCGCTCATAACCATGTCGTAACTTATCAATCATTTTGTTGTGAACAAAAACAAAAATGATTAAAATTCAAAAAATGAAAGACAGGCTCACTGCCAACATTACACAAAGGCGGTCGGGCAGTCCCTGCGTACGGGAGCCAGCCTGTCTAGCAAATTCGGGTGCAGACCTGAAAGACAAGTGAGATGGTCAGGGAAACAAAAGCACCGATGAAATCACAGTTCGACGTGACCCCGTCTGCCACTGCCTTGTTAGACCTATCTACCGAATCATGCCTTGCTGTAAGCCAAGACGGTAGGCTCATAATTCGAGTTCGATGTCTCGAGAAATCAAAGGCGTCGAAGAGTTCACACCTGAGCGTGATCCCTTTGTTCTAAGGTCCTTGGGTCTGGGGCAAACATTGTACCTGTCATCGAAATCAACAGCAACAATGTGATCGCATGCATGAACATGGATGATCTATGAAAGGAAGAACAGTACAATGATCGCAAATCGCTGCTTTGTTGATTAGCTGCGCACACCTAAGTCCGGATTTTTTGTTCAGTAAATAATGATCTGAAATGCGGGAACTTAGAAGATTTAGTCTCTCCAGACTTCAGAGTTGGATATTAGGGATGACCTTTATAAGTGAACCGGGATCCTAAACGACGGGATTCTAGGTGGAGACTACTATAGAGTTAAACCGGATAAAGCTCTATTAAAGGAGACCCCCCCCCCCTCTACCTAATATGGTTTGGTGTCGTTTTACGAGGGAGGGGGTCAGGAAGTTTTTGGTCTAAATAATATGAAGGAATGAAGATAGAGCTTTGTAACTTGGCACACAAACCTTTATTTGTCACCTTGCAGAGTAACACTTTTCTGCCATCTCTCTTTGACCTTCAAAAGTCCTTGAGAGAAAAATGACCCAGAATGAACCCCTAACCAGTCTTCAAAAGCTTCAATGGCGTCCTCGTTGTCATGGAAACGACGTCCTTAGGGTGATTTTTCAGATTAGGAAATTGAAAAAAGTCTAAGGGGTCTAGGTCTGGTGAATAATCTGGGTGTTGCAGGATTTCAAAGCCGCACTGTTCTGCTGTCTGGACTGCGTGTTGTGCCCTGTGCATAGGGGCGTTGTCATGCAGTAGGAGGACCCCATCACGGAGTTTTCCACACCTTTTTCTCACCAATTCGGACCGTAGTTTTATCACCAAACCAGAGTAGTAGTCTCCTATGACTGTTTATCCATTTTGCTGGTGGTCAGTCATGGTGATGCCTTCACAATCCCAGAGACACGGCAGCATGACCTTTCCACTTGACAGTGTTACCTTTGCTTTCTTTGGCGAGGGAGGAGAAGGGGTCTTCCATTGCATGGAGGACATTTTTTTGTTCTGGATCAAAATGATAAATCCATGTTTCATCCACAGTCACCATGTTTTTAAAGAAAAGTGTCATTTTACTCAACTTGAAGGAGAGTTTGCAGGACTCAACCCTCTGCTTCGTTCACTCACTTGTCAAAAGACGAGGTACCCACGACATAGACATCTTATTCATGTTAAGACGATCATTGAGAATGGTTTCAATTGACCCAACACTGATTCTAGTGTCACTTAGTTTCAGTTATACGTCGGTCTTGTAGAACCAGTTTCTTCACTGCGGATACGTTCTCTTCAGTTACCACAAAGGATGGGCGCCCTTCACTATCTTCATCCATCACCGACATGAATCCAGATTTGAATTTTCTTACCCAGTATGTCACAGTATTATAACGAGGACATTTGTCACCATAAATTTGGACCATTTCTCGAAAAAATGTCCAAAGGGGATTTTCCTTGAAAGTGTGAAAACTCGATAACTGAGCGATATTCAACCGGCTCTATGGCACAATTTCAGCAAGGAGAAACAGGCGTTTTTGTGCATGATTTCATTGAACACACTGACTAGTGCCTTATTATTGTAGGATTTTCTCGAAAATTTGCCCGATGTGTTCCAAAGCAATTTTCTAAACGCTGGCAAATTTTCATTACTCTGGCATGATTCCTTCATACCCAGACCAAAGACTTATTGAACCCCTTTCGTAAATACACTTTTTTTAACACTGAAGTTTTTCATTGTTGTTAGTTAGGTACTGATTTCATTTTCTGTTAATTGACCGCAGTAGATATTTACATTTGTTTTTGTTTTTGTTAAGTGTTTTAAGGCGCTCGCAACTGCATCGGTCATATGAGCGCGCGGCACACACCTAATATTTTCAGTTGGTAGGAAATTTTGAATTTTGCCCGGGTGGCGGTCGAAGCCTACTCTTATCGATTTTAGACCACCAAGGGATCCTTAACGTGCGCAACTTGCACACGGGCCCTCCGAGATTTTTCGCCCTTGTCCGAGAAGGCTAGGTGTAGATCTTTCCTACTACAAGATCAGGGGTGTGGCAGAAAGACAGCAGTAAGGAGGAGCCAAGGAGTAGCAGTAGAAAGGCTGCAGAAAGAGTCAGGAGCCCAGAGGAGGGGGCAAAGGAGGTGAGGGGGTGGGGGCAGAAAGTGGAATTGAAAGCAGACAACAGAGCATTGCTAGAGAGCAGGAAAGGAGGTGAAAGGAGACAATTTTAGAGAAGAAAATTTTCCGGTCGCTACCCGGATTCGAACCCGGGACCTTTGAATGAGAGGCCAACACCTTAACCTCTAGGCCACGAGAGCCCCCGATATTTACATTAAGACAGCAGTAGATCTAATAGTAATGAGAAGAACTGACTTACTTTAAGGCGTTAAATAAGTCTGATTGACTGTTTAGGTGAGTATAATTAGTATGAAAGCAATATACATGTAGATACATAGACTGTAGATCTTGTCCCATCAAGATAAAGGTTTGCATAGCATTTAATATGGACACACAATGGAAAGCAATCTACCCATTTAAATCAATTATCTCGGTCTTTCTGCTGGCATGTTGTATACTTAAACACAGCACGGGGGGCATTTTTACTATATAACTGACTTGCCTAGTTTCAGGAACGTTAGAATAAAACCTTCTTGCTCAGTTCATCTTTCAGTTCGAGAGTCAGACAATGCGCTATGCAAGTTGACTAAATGACCATGGTTCCGCGGCAAGAGAAGGCTTCTATAAGGCACTGGTTGCCGCCAACACCTTTTGTATACAGTAGGCATTGGCTGCGGCCCACAGAGCAGCCTCCACTACTATATTACCTCCTTGTTATAAGGTGATATATAAGAGGCGCAGCTTACAGGTGTTACAATAGAGTAACAAACACAAAAAGACGGGGAGAGATAAGGACGGCAGAAATTTAATAAGAAAAAGGGAACAAACCACGCCAGAGCACCCACCCAGCTTATGGTGTCCGGTTGCGGACACTGGCCTGGATCTTGTGCATTTGGTACTGGGGGACATAAGTTTGGGATTGACGCCATAGCACCCGCCAATCAGCCACAACAAAAGAGAGAAGGATATTGACCTCAAAACAACCCAGAGGGGAAAAAGATATACCACTAACTATTAAATTGTCTCATCTCTTTACTTCTTCATTCCCATAAAGATGAAAAGATGAAGGAAAGAGGCGAGAAAGAATAGTATCAGGATTTTGGTCAGATTAAGCACTCAAGAGGATAGGCTTATGGGGACAAGAGAGGTACTCCTGTTGTGATCCCAGCGAAGCCAAAGAAAAGCTTTGTACACTTTTGGGACATCGGTGATCTAATAGCAAGGTTCCTTTTGCAATCCAAAGGGTGTAGGTTCGAATCCTGAATTGTGTCACTTGACACGAATTTTCCTCACTTCACCTAGGTGGAAATGGGTACCCGGCTATAGACAGCAAAAGATCGTGTCAGTCTATTAGTGTTTGAGCGGGTGAAATGCACAACTTGAACGGTATGTTTCCCTAGAAGCCGAAAATGTTTCTGGGTGTTCTTGGTCTGCTGGGGAACTAATAGTTGATAGTTGAAAAGCGCATATAGCATAGTGTAGAGCGTGGATATGCGCTATATAAAATTGATGCAATTACATGTACGCGTATTATTACCATATTTTAGAACTTAGCTGGTCGTGAAAATCTCTACTCAATTTGCTATAGCCGCTGGAGAAGGACATGTGTTGGAGTTGCAGTACTTATTGTTCTGAGTAAGGGAGGGGGTCCAGAAATAGAATTACCAAATTTGAGAAATTTAATTTAGCTTACTTTTTTCAACTTGTCTTTTTCCACGTTCGTTTTATTTTCTTTTTTTTTTTTTCATTATTTTTTTTGTCTGTGTGTGTGCAAAGGGCTTTTCACAACCGATACCCATCCAGTCCGTCTAACCCGACACTTAAGTGATCTTCTTACCCCGTTGAGAAAATGCCTTCAGTATGTGGACCACAGCATAAATGCTAGTACTGAAAACATCATTGAAATTGGCGATAATTCTTACCGCTGCTATTGGCTTCTATAACGGTCGATTCAGGAGACCTATTCGCCACCACGAGGATCAAAAGACCCCCAAAAAATGGCACTTAAATTCAGCACCCACAGTTCGTAAGAATAACAATACCGTTGGCACTAAAATCGCTCTACCTTTTGGGCAGTATCTTAAATGGACAACAAGAAATTTTTAATTCAAACACAACGGAACAACAGGATACCCAACTCATCGCGTAAACTGAGATGACTTTTTTAAAACTATAATTTCGTGACGATGAATCCCTGGGAAAAAAATTATCGACTGGATAACACCATTTAAAAGTGGGACTGCAGAAACAAATGACAAAGTATGGGTAATTATTTTCGCTCACATGTACATGTTGTTCTGCGTATTCAGCAAAACACTTTCATTTTAATGAAGGTGCTTTTAAGGCTGCACTGACACAGTTTAGATCATTTAAGAGGCAGGCTTCGACATGCCTGTCAGGGCCAGCCCTGGGCTAAGTTAGCATAACATCCCTGGAGAAAGACCGAGATGCTTGATGAAAGATTCCCCCCTCTTGTGGATCGAACTCGAGTCTCCTGCATGCGATGGCAAAGCGCCTACCCGCTACATAACAGACATCAGATGTAATAATTTGTGCAGTTTGTAAAGCGCAATTAGGTAGCTCTTGAGCAGGAAGTAGCGGTATGCAATCGCCACTTGTTATTATTAGTTATTAGTATTATCTCTATATATCATTATATCAAATGTGTTGCCTTTGCCCCGCGTTTCGAAAGCCTGGCAGTTCAGGAATTAAAAGCAATTACTACTAAAGGAAAATAACCATGTTGTCCTTGGATGAAGAGTTATTAAGCTGGGGTTACGTCCCATTGATTACAAAATATCACTTCTCTTCATTTAATAAATCAACAAAGTTTTTCATAAGTATGCAAAATTATTGGCAAAACAGACTTTTTCTTCTAAAAAAAAAAAGGGATATAGACAAGGAGTTGTGATTGTGACGGTGGTAAATGCGTTCAAAATAAAATCGCATTGTTGATATGTTGGCCTAGATTACTTGGAGAGAGCAAGTGCTTTGCTGATCATATCCAAAAATTGGTCTCAACCTAACATGTCAGATAAAATAAAGTAAGCCTTGAAGTTGAGGATAAATGAGAAATGGGTTGAGATAAAGTTTGTCGAAGAAAAGACACATGTATTGCCTACAAAGTTGAAAACAAATAAAGCTGAATAATGAGAAACCAAAGCAGACAAGAGCGAAGACAGCCTGTCACGGTTTGGTTCTGAAGAAAAAAAAACCACTTTCACTTCAAACCAGATCTCATTTCTGATATCCACCCAATAAATTTTGATTTAAAAAACTGTCGCGGGGTTTAACATACTTATGATTTCAAAAGATATGCATGTGTGATTTTCCATAGTAGAAGTCAAAACACATGGCTTCAAATTTCAATGTGGCTGTTTTTTTCGTTGTTTAAAATATTTTATGGCGGAGCATGTCGATCATAATCTGGATAAGACGATATAACTGGACACACTCTTGTTTACATCCAACACTCCACGTAGACGCATGTTTGAGTACACCAGTGCCAATAGCTTGAATAGGTCCACAGTTTCATTCATGTGAATAGGGCCTACAGTTAGATTCTAGTTGGCCTAGGCTACGTCTACGGTGTTCAGTTTCATCATCGTACGTGAGAGAGGGATAGGAACTGGTAAACGTTTTGACAATGATTTGTCTGTGTTTGTGTTATGTACGAAAACAACGATAAAAGAAGTTCTTGTCTTGTTTTACTATGAATAAACGGCCCCACCTTATATATTGTCATTGTCGTGCTGAGACAAGACGACTGCTATTCTAATTCTTAGTGTTGTTCTCCCATGTTGGCTTCTACTACGACTACAGAACTGTAGATTCTTCTTCTAACTCGTAAGTTCTAGCCTTGTACTAGATCTAGACTTCACCAGTTCAAGTCAGGAAGATGAAGTAGAATTTGTTTTACAGACTATTTCAGGCGAAAGTGGCTATTCTCACCCGCCCGGAAGTTCTCGCAAGATCAACTCCCCCCTCTTCTCTCTCTC